AAAAGAAAAATAAAACAATAAAATTGTCTGCCCTGACAGATCTTAAACAGAGATCTGTTTTTAACCCATATTTCCGTATGGAGCAACTACTACTGCCATTGTGTACTTAAAGATTAATCTTATTTCAAGCCAGAAATATCACAAAAATTGCTTGAGAAAAACTACACCTATGCTGGTTGGCAACTTTTCTCTAAATGCATTCTATAACATTTCCTCATGACAGACAAGCTTCAGACTTCAATCATCAAGACTTGTTTTCTTTTCTTCATGTTAAAGTCTCACATGGCTTCACCGATGTTTTTCATCTGAGATAAATTCACACTCTACACATTCTCTTCTGCAAGAAATTCTGATCTGCAAAAAATTCTGTTTTTCAACATAATTCTTGATTGTAGCATTTAGAATGTGAATATGATTCTGGAGATATAGTTTACTCAATACAGCATAGAGAGGGCTATTGTTTGCTATATTAAGGAATGATCTGTCTAAGATACTTGGTTCAAATTTTATAGTTATCAAAATATGCATAGCTAGGCAAGTGATGTTAGCATTATGGCAGAATAGGAGGTCTCTCACTCATGTCCACCCAAAGTAACAATAATTTGTAGCCACCCAGGGAAAAAAGTGTTTTTGTGAGAGCTTTGGGATCCAGGTAGGAGGTTGTGAAATCCTGATGGAACCTGAGACTAAGGATGGCCATTTTAAAAAGGCTCACACCTAGGTTGCCACCTGGCAGTCTGGCTGACTGTAGTCCCAGTTACAGACCCAGAAATGAGTGTATACCACTGTGGACTTGGCTAGAACCCTGATTTGCCTTGGTCCTGCCACCAACACCACCTATCCAGGGGACCTCTGAGGAGGAGACACACCTGCACATACCTTGAGTAACAGGCCCACAAATCTTAGCCCCTACTGCAGATCCTGAAGCAGCCCTGCACCTCAGCTCCGTCCCATCTCAGCTGTGGTCCAAGAGCATTCCTGCCAGCCCAGAGACCCAGTAGGAGACATGCCATTCTGTGCCTCAGAGGCAGGTCCACTGGCCTCACCCCAACTGCGGGTTCTGAAGCAATACTTTGATTCAGCCCCAACTCCTCCTAGTCACAGTCCAAGTACTATCATGCCTGCCCAGGGACCCAGCAGGAGAGACACCCGTTCATGTCCCTAGAGGCAGGCCTACAGAGCTAGGACCCAGCATGGATCTTAAAACACTTCTACGACTTGGTTCCAGCCCCACTCAGCTGTGGTCCAGTTCCAGTCCTGCCTGCTCAGGGACCTGCCCAGTGACCCAGTGGCAGTCCTGCCAGGGACCTGGGGAGAGCGAAGCCTGTGCAAGTACCTGGTAACAGGCCTGCTGTATGTGGACCAAACTGCAGACATGTTAGAAAACTATAATAATTAGGTCAATATGGTATCAGAGCAGAGACAAGCAGATTGAGCAACAGAGCCTAATACAGGGCCCAGAAAAACATTTTGCATTTATGAATATTTTCTATTAGATAGAGATTGTTAGAGACCTCAAAGTGGAAGGCTATACTTTTCACTATATCGCATTGGGACAATTACTTATCTTTATAGAAAAAAATAAATGAGCGGGAGAGAGACTGGCTCCTTATCTCACAGTATACAAAAAAATCTATCCCAAGGTATTGAAGACCTAAATATGAAAGGCAAAACTATCAACTATTTTTAAAACATATTATAGAACAGCACTTTCATGACCTTGACATAGGGAAAAGACTTTAAAAACAAGACAGTGACAGTACTAATTGTAGAAAAAAGAATCAAAGATAAATTTAAGCACCTGAAAATGAAGAACTTCTACTCATTACAGACATCATGAAAAGACTGAATAGACAAAGCGCTAAGTGAGCAGAGAAGTTTGCAATGGATTTTATCACATACTCCATCGCCCAGAAGTACCTGGCCCAATTGAAAGGTGGGATGGCTTACTGATGACTAAGTTACAGCAACACTTGGGATGCAACACCCTGAAAGGATGAGGTTCTGTTTTATAGGAGGCAGTGTGTACTTTGATTTAGAGAACATGATATGGTGCTGTCTCCCCCTACCCAGAATACATGGGTGCGGGAATCAAGGATTAGAAAAAAAGTGGGGTTACATTGTTATATCTGCAGAATTTTTGCTTCCCATTCCAGCAACTCATCTTAATCATCAACGGAGAATGCTTCCACCAGAGGATATAATAATGGTCCCGTTGAATTGAAAGATAAAGCTACCACCTAGCCATTGTGGGCTTTTTATGCCCCTGAAACCATATGCAAAACAAAAAAACAAACACCCAGTTAATCTAGATTAACCTACTGCATGGAGTGATTCACTCTAATGACCAAAGGGAAGTTTAGTTGCTGCTACATGACTGTGGTAAGTAGGACTATATCCGGAAAGCAAGGGATTCTCTGGAATGCCTCTTTTGGTTCCATTGTAAATAATAATGGAACACTAAGAGCAACCAGAAAAAGGCAAGATGATTAAAGACTCTGACCTTTCAAGAATGAAGATTTGGGTCACTCCATCAGGTAAAGAACCCAGAGAAATTTTTTTTTGTAGGCAAGCGAAGTATGAGATGGGCACTAAAGAAGGAATCCATACATATCATCAATGACGTCATGACCAACCTACAGAAATGAGGACTCTAGTATCTTAGATATTTTCTCTTTGCTTGTCACATGCATATGCTATTCGAAGAGTTCTCTCTCCTTCCCATTTTATTTCACATACAAATTCTTAGAGGCTAACTCACAAGATGTAGTTTGGATAACAGAATATATATTAGGACTGTGAGTGAATTGAAGAGTGTATTTTAAATGTTTATTTTGGGGAAATCATACAGACACAAATTCAATTATTTATATACATTTGAATGTAAAATTTAAGGGAAGAGAAGCCAATGCACAGAATAAATAGAATGGGATTGAAGCAAGAGTATTATTTTGTGCTGAATAAGTATTAATTTACAGAACTATTACTTCTAATTATTAATTATCTTGGTAACACAATTTCCAGTCTGGAATCAAATGGCCCAGCATGTGAAAATGTCTCTGATTTGAGGCAAGATACTTATTATTACCTGTAAAATATAGATAGCTTAGAGTTTTTATGAGTATAAAATGAGATAATGTACACAAAGAACTCAGTTCAGTGACATTTGTAGACATTCAATAAATGTTATATTTTGTAAACCATCCATTCATTCATTTATTCATGCAACTCACTTATCGCTCCCTTACAGTGGGATAGACAGTACCCAAGATACGGAGGCTCTTTTCATGGGGACAAAAGTCATTTGGGAGAGAGGATAACAGATATTAAATTCCCATTTCAACAATTTTTATCTAAGCTTCTCTCACCTCTCCAACCCTGTTTGTTTCCTTTATAGCACTTGTGATCATTTTTCCTTGGTTTTTACAGGTTTGCTTTTTTCTATCTCCTCTTGTAGACTGTAAACTCAAAGGGAGCAGGGGCCCTTTCTGACTTGTCTCTCTCTGTCACCAGCACATACTACAGCATGTAACACCTTCAATAATTGTTGTTAAAGATTTTTAAATAAACAACTTGTCGTTCTATTACATAATTATAAATTTTGACTAGTACTCTAAAAGATAATAACAGAGTCTCTAAAAAAATAATAACCAAGAGTAGCAACAATGAGGAAAAACAGAAACAGAACAAAATCCCAAGCTTTCCAGTCCAACAAGGTAGTTAGAGGAAACAGTTTTAGAGTTCAGATCTTCCAGAGGAACTATTGCTCTATCACTGGAAAAGCTAAAGAGAAATGTTTTTAAGGTTCACAGGTGTGCTGTGTGCAGCTTCACCACAAAAGATATCCTACAGCTCTATAAATACATCCTGCAGCACAAATAGGATAGTTCTTCCTACCAGACCCCAAAGGTGGCCTCTCTTATACGTCCCGTGTCTCTCTGCCCAGGCACCTGTTCATTGTGCACAGGTTGAAGGAACCTCAAACAGTGTCCAAGCAGAATGGGTCTGGGGAAGATAAGGAGCAGAACAAGCCCAGGTACAAGGACAACCCATCTGATGCTGTGGTGTCAAACAGAAAATGCAACGTGTGTGCAAAACCCTTTATAGCTGCAGCTGCCTTAAATATTCACATGAGGACACAAGGCACGGCCTTCATTAAACCCAAAAGAATGAGCTCCACTAAGAAATAGCTACAGAAGTCCATAAGGAAAATCTCTGTCCACATGGGAGTGAAAAAGACATTTTTGTTACAAAACATTTGCAGCATAATAGAGCTAATACTATGGTCTAGGCTACTGCAATACATTCTCTTTCCACGTACCTTCTTCATCTCATTTATGCCCTTGATGAGTATTAAAACAACATTTGAATTTAAAAGAGTTTGCATATATTTAAATGAATAACTTTTTTATAGTCTTTGTTACATTTCGTATCAGTATTTAGTGGAAAATATTTTGAGTTTTGAGGGTTAATTTATTTTTTTACTGTTTCTTTACAACAGAGTTCTTAATAACAGCAGCAGTTCCTAACTTCAAATAAACCATTTTGTATGTTACAAATATTAATGGATTAACTAATTACAGGTTAAGATAATGCTTTATTTGGTATTTTCAATTTTTAGAATTTACTACATAAATTGTAGGTCTCAAAAACACTAGGATCTTTTTTTTTTTTTGTGAGGAGATCAGCCCTGTGCTAACATCTGCCAATCCTCCTCTTTTTTTGCCGAGGAAGACGGCCCTGGGCTAACATCCGTGCCCATCCTCCTCCACCCTATATGGGACACCGCCACAGCATGGCTTGCCAAAGCAGTGCATCGGTGCGCGTCCGGGATCCGAACCAGCGAACCCCGGGCCGCGGCAGCGGAGCGCGCGCACCCAACCGCTTGCGCCACCGGGCCGGCCCCTCTTTGTAGTTTTGATCTCTTTTGTAAAGAATTCCCTCTGTTCAGTAATTTGGTTCCTGATTTCATTGAACTGTATTTCAGAATTCTCTTGTAGCTCATTGAGTTTTCTTACGATGGCTGTCTTGAATTCTTTATCATTTTGATCATATATTTCCTTGCCTTCAGGATTGGTTTCTGGGTGTCTTTTTCCTTCTGGTCTGGAGTATTAATAAATTTCTTTATACCATTTGATGGAGTGGATTTGTGCTGGTGCATAGCGATAGTTTCTGGATGCATGTTCCTTTTGCTGCCACTTGGGAGGGAAGCAGGAGCTGTGTAATCTGAGCCCACTGCCACAATCCCTGTCAGCTATGCCTGTCTAAGCCTGGATCACTACTTGGGATCGCAGTGGCCCTTTGGGGTTTCCCACCAAATGGGAATGCGGTCATGTGGGGGGATCAGGGCTACTGCTGCCTGCTCCTGGGGGTCGTGCTCCCTTCTTCTGGGCCACAGCAGTACTATGGGTGTTCACGGCAGCCAGGCACTTGTGTACCCAGATTGGGATCTCAGCCACCCTCCACTCCTAGGTCGCACCAGCCATTGTGCTTGGTGGTTGGGAGCTCCCCTCTGGGACTGACCTAGCCACTCCCTGGGACTGGGTAGGGTTGTGGATCCTTCCACCAGATGATAGAGTGATCACATGGGTGCTCAGGGTTACTGCCGCCAGCTCCCACGGTCCCATGGAGACATGCTTCCCCCTTTGGGGCTATAGTGGTACTATGTGTGTTTATCCCAGCCGGGAGCTTTTTTGACCAGACTGGGATCTCAGCTGCCCTCTGCTCCTAGGTCACACTAGCCATTGTGCTTGGTGGGAGGGACGTCCCCTCTGGGACCAAGCCAAAGCCACTCCCTAGGACCACGGTGGGGTTGTGGTTTCTCCCACCAGATGAAAGAGTGATCACAAGGGGACTCAGGGACAGTGCCACCCGCTCTCACAGTCCTGCCAAGATATGCTTTCCCCCTTTGGGGCCACAGCAGTACTATGAGTGTTCACAGCAGGCGGGAGCTTGTTCATCTGAGCGGCAGCTCAGCAGCCCTCTGTTCCTAGGTAGCACTGGCCTTTGTGCTTGGTGGGCAGGGCTTCCCCACTGGATCCAAGCCCGTGCTACTCTCTGTGGACTGTGTGGCTCTGAGGGCTCCCTACTAGATGGGGAAGTGCTCACACGGGGGGCTCAGGGCTTCCGTCACCTGTTTCCACAGTCGCACTGAGGCAATCTCCCACCCTTGGGGCCACAGCGGTGCTATGATCACTACCACTCTACGGAAAAGTAGTCACAGACATGTGCTAGGCTGCCTGGGGTCCAGAGTGTGCTCACTTATCTCCACCACCTCCTCGGGGTGGGTAGTCCATCCACCTTCAGATATACAGCTGCTCGGGTCTCTCAGGCACCATGATGTGCTGTGTGGGTATCCTCTGTTGATTGATGAATGTCCTTTTAGTTGTAGTTCGAAGTGGGAGAGACACAGGGAACAGCTCACTGCACTATGTTGCTGATGTCTCTACAACTTGAAATTTTTAATAAACATTGTAATATATTTATTCCTACATATTTTAAGTAAGAAATAGTTGTCCTACGAAAAGGCCCAATTCAATACAGTAGATACTATACCAAAGAAAAGTAGTGATGTTTTCCTATATCATCTTAGAAAAAATAATGAAGACAGAAGTGAGGAAGATAGTCTAATATAGGAGAGCATGGAGGTAAGAAGACTAATTAAGAAACTATTGGAAATTTGTAGATGAGGCATAATTAGCACCTGGTAAGTGTGGTGATTCATTTATCAGTTCTGAATAAGAGAAGACAGTAAAAAGAAAGACTTCATTGAATAACCTGTCACCATTGTGGCAACACAGGTTTAATTTTCCTAAATGAATGCTAAGAAGAGCACATAATCTATTCTATATGTCAAACAATACCAGGACCAGGAATTTTTTCCTAGTCCTGCAATTGATAATACTAGACCCAGCAAAAATACCTTAGTAATTTGTCCCAGGATGACAAGATGTGACCAACTATTTTGTAGTGTACTGATCAAAACACACAGCTTTCTCACTAAGACAAGATTCCAGACCATACCTGACTGTGTCCAGCAATCCAGAGTTATGTCATAAACTGTGCTCAGTTACAACCTGTTCTCTACTTTGCAAAGCTCTCCTTGATATCACCAATCCAGGCCCCAACACCTTAGAATTACCTTCCTCTTACTTCCCTTTTCTAGAACAGTAATAAAACACTGTCGAGGTGCTGTTCCTTCTTCCTGCAATAAGTCAAATAAACCTAGCTTTGTTTTAGCAACAGGTTTTTTTTCTTTTTTTGGTGTTCTTTTGAGAAATAAACAGAGGACTTAATTTAAAAGGGTCTAAACTCCTAACACAATTCCTTGAATAAAGTGAAAAGCTTTCTTGAATTTGAATATCACTCTATGACAATATATGTCTTACTGAATTGCTCTACTTTTCTTCTTGGCAGTTTTTCAGGAAGTCTCTTATGGCGTTTAGGCTTTCCTGATTATGAAGACTATACACAACATGACCTGATTATGAAGTTGCGTATAATTGCTTTTATAAAAGAAGGAAAGTGGTCCTGTTAAATCATCTATATGTACCTAAATAAGAACCCTCAATTTATTAGCCACAACTTTCCTGGTGTTTCAAATTCCTACTACCAAAAGGCTGACTAAATTAAACCTCAGATGAGACACTGATCTATTAACCATCTTTCTCATAATATTACATTAATTAACTGAAAGCAACAAAGAATTATGAATTTATGAAATAATTTTACTTTCCTTAAAGTCTCATATCCTTTTTCTTTCTGGCACATGCTCTGCTACTATTGGGTGTATTATACTAATCTCATCTCATATTAAGGAAACAGCTTTTCAAAACTTTCTGCAGTTTGTTTCTTCCTATTTCCATTCAAAGTCCCAATGAAAATGCAATGATATGTGTTAACATTATTTTTATAAAGAATGCTTCAATCTTGAGTGTAAATTTGATTCTATCTGATCCTGGCCCAGATATTTCAAGGGAACTAAAGCCATGGCTCATAATGAATGTGATAAATTTTGCATGTAAAATATTTATTTCAGGTGGAGTTGTTTACCCTTTGAGAATGTGATTTAATAAGTAAAACATCTAATCAGTGTGTATGAACTAATTGGAGACTACGACATAGTTATTGAAAACTTTCACTTATATTTCTAACTTTGTGATCTGTTGTGAAGGTTAATAGTTAACCAGGCATTTCCTCTCTGATATCTTACTTACTATATTTGTTTTCAAGCGAGCTAGTGAGATCAGGCAATTTGAAAGTTTGAAGTGGAATTATACCATATCTAATTTATACACTACTGAATGATTTTTAACATACCACTACAGCTAATTCCAGAGTGACCCTTATTTCTGACAACTGTGTTATCAGGCTACAATGATCTCTGCTCTGTTTTGTGCTGTGAAGTTTTTGATCTCATGTAAGATCAGATCAAATGCTAGAGTGCATTCAGAAATGTTTGTGGAAACAATATCAGGAGTTTACCAGTATACACTCAGATATATACACGTATAGAAGGAATCCCTCCAGTCTAGATACTGGTGAGACTGCTTCAAGTTTCAACTAGATTTTAACATTTTCATCTGCCTGCTTCGTCTTCCCAAATGAACTCCTTTTGTTAAAAGGGTCGCTGAAGCTGCCTGCAGTTTCTACACATTATGTAGAAAATCCATTGGAATTAAGCCTGGTTGATGAATGGATCTAGAAGTTCTTTTGTTCCTGGCCAAAATAATCCAAATCTCATCCTTAATTTATATTCATATAACTTTCTGAAAGCAACGCAAAATAAGATTTGCAGAATTTAAGTGGATGGGTAAAAATAATGAAAAGTTGAAAGAAGAAGATATTAGGATATACATGTATTTTGAAATTGTATCATCTCCTTTTGTTGAAAGTAACTTATAAATAGGATAAAGGGATTAAAGTTTATCTGACCGTCTGTGGGATCTGGGCAAGGGACACTGCGATCATGTTTGCATTTTCTTCTGAGAGATTTTTGATCTCTGATCCCAATGAAAACACCACAATAGTATATTCTCTAAAGCTCTGGACAAATTCTTCCATTTCCTGTATAGAAAGAATTTGCTCATCCATGAAAGAAATGCATTATAGGGATCTTTTTTAAATAAATGGTTACATACAGGTCTAAATAGAGATAGATTAATATACTGTTGCCTTCTAATATGCCAAACCATTAAATACCTTCAGTTGAAATGGCTGATATAAAATCTATACCTCTTAAACTCTAGATAAACAAGGCTAGTAGACATGTTATGGTAATGAACCATATTCAGCAGGAATTGATAAAGATGAGTTTTTTTCCTTCAAAGCAGGAGAAAGAGATTGTCCATAATCTGACCCTCAGGATCACGTGTATGCCCTTCTATATCTGATAAAATTGTTATTACACTGATTTATTTATCTTCTGGGTAGGCTTTCACCATTCCCTCTTAGTGAGTAGTTGTTACATATCTATCCAAATAACGAAACCGAGAGAATTGACTTCTCTTTTCTTTGTTTTAAGAAGAGAAGTAGCTTTGTTAAATCACTCTAATGTATATAAATAAAAACCCCATTCACAATGCTCTTCCTGATGTTTCAAATTTCCACATTGCTAGTGCATTAAACACCCTGAATTCTTGTCTATGTTAAGAGTTCAACTCACTAACTATTTTCCTATGATAATACATTAATTGCCCCAGGGAAATGTAATATTTTGACAATGATTTTTATGCAGGTAGAAGAGTTAAAAATGGGCCTGCCAGGGCCTGGCCCCATGGCCTAGTGGTTAAGTCCAGCACGCTCCACTTTGGTGGCCTAGGTTAGGTTCCCAGGCTTCGACCTACACCACACGTCAGCAGCCATGCTGTGGCAGTGGCCCACATACAAAAAATAGAGGAAGATTGGCACAGAGGTTAGCTCAGGGTGGATCTTTCTCAAGTAAAAAGAGAAAGATTGGCTACAGATGCTAGCTCAAGGAGAATCTTATTCAGCAAAAAAAAAAAAAAAAAGAAAAGAAAGAAAATGGGCCAGCTGTTTAATAACTGCTTCACACTTGACCAACATTTTTTAACAGCTCAGTAGTTTGTATCATCCAGATAACTAGAAAGATAATTTGGCCATTTATCTTATGGCTGACCTAATTATTTCATGAAACCCAAATGCTATGCTTTTGAATGATTGTGAAATTTTGTCCATACATCATCAGGATGGTGGATTTTAGTACTTTGGTAGGAATCATCTAGCCAACTTTATTTCTGTACTGATATGAGTTTACGTGACAAAGGTAAAGAAAACCTCACCTTATTTTTCACATAGGATCCACTTTTATAGGCATTTTTGTTAGTAATTAACTAGACATTTCCTCCACAAAGGCTATAAATATTATATGTTCCCCGTTTGGCATGTGAGATTGTGTATTTAAAAGATTAAAGTACTATGACGGGTTTTATAAAAGTAAACATGGTAATAATTTTTTAATGCATGAATTTTTCCTTTTTATATCTTTCTTAAGTTATAATTTACAAACAATAAAATGCACCCATTTTATGTGTACAGTTAATTGACTATTGACAAATGCATTCAGTGATCTTACCAACACCACAGATGTTCTAAGTACCTTAGTCTCCGGTAGTCAACTTTGAATGTGTGTTGGGGAGTGTGAGAAGCAGTTAAATCAGGACCAAAGGCACTCATCATTTTCCCAGAGAGCTATGCATTTGAGTTTATAAGTACAAACACAGCTAATGGTCTTTCTTTTTTATTTTAATATATTGTCTTGTTCATGTTGCCTTGATATTCCCTATTCTCACAAGGAGATATTTGTGGTTCATGGTAGGATTCGGGGCTTGTTGTATCCACTAGTCATAATTAAGTCCCATTGTCATTGAACAGACTCCTAGGCACATGATTATCTATAGTGGAGCCTTTAACTATAGATACACATTTTATGTAAAGGACACAACCCCACAAAATATTTTAATTGTCTTCTTCAGTATTTCCTTCTTTTCAGTAGTTTGATGGCAAATGTGTTTAATCAAAAATTTAAATATTTAATATGTAGCTATTTCTGGATGTGGGGTCAGAGTTTAGGGGAATCATTAAGAGATAATGCAGAATTTGGGGGCTAGCAACTGGGAGAGCTGATATCAACCCAAATCTAAAGTCAAGAAAACTTAATGGTTATTAGAACCGCATTCTTAGTGGTAGTGTCCGTATTGGGTGCTGCGGCATCCCGTTGTTAGGTACGATTGGGCATGGCAGTATTAAGAGACATCCCAGTGAATCTCCTGGATTCCCAAAACAGTGCTCTTTGTTCACTGCTTAGCAACATCCTAAATTCCTTTCTCTGTCTGTTGGCTCAGGCAGAGGTCAGAGTCCAGGTTCAGCTTCTAAAATCTCAGAACTGTTTCTTGATGAATACATTCCCTCTTCAAGCAATAGGACCTTCAAACCCACTGGGTCCTAATGTCATGGAGACTGGAACCAAAAATTGCTGAAAGATTTATTTCTTGTAATAAATAGGAGATACTTCCACCTCTTGGTCTCAAACTTATATTCTGGCTGTGGAGGCAATGGCATCCTGTACTGACCCCCACAGTAAGGTCTTCGCCACTTCCTGTATAACAGGCCTCCAGAAGCAGACATCTTTACACTTTTTTTTTTTTTTTTTTAGTGAGGAGGACTGTCCCTGAGCTAATATCTTTGCCAATCTTCCTCTATTTTGTTTGTGGGGTGCTGCTGCAGCATTATCTGAGCCGTTTGTAAGTCCACGCCTGGGATCCTATCCCACGAACCCCTGGCCACCAAAGCAGAGCACGAGAACTTAAACGTTATGCTGCCAGACCAGCCCTGATCTTTTCACTTTTAATTGACCAGTTTCCAATATATGGAGTTAATTGTTTTAAATGATTGGACATATTATGTTGAGCGTATTTCAAGATTTTGCAAAGGATGATTCATTCTGTTTACTTGTGTCATTTATTTATAATTGCCTTACATGGAATATTGCTTAGAAGTGAACTTAATTTAGCCCTAAGTTAATTTATTGATTTATATTACTCCAAGTGAATCTGACTATCCTGATAAATAAATGACCACCTCTCACTGGAAAGTTAAGAATATGGCAAGCACAGGTGTATTTAAGAATAATGATGCAACTCTAACAAAGTAACCCAACAAAAAAATTTTGAACCAAAAAATGTGAGATGTCAGAACAACATCCAGTGCCTAGCTAGTACAAAAGCCCAACCTGCGACAACATGATGAAGCTATTCTCTTTGAGGAATCCACATACTCAACTCTCTCTGCGTCTCTCTAAGAAACATCAGCAAGCAGAGGACACCTGCTCTCACCATGGCAGTGAGACCAATTAGGAGATTTGGGTCTTACATCCCAGTCCCCTCTTTTTTGTTTATTTAGCAACATAACATTCTAAGGAAATAAATTCTTAAACTGTAAGTAAGTGCTTACTATTTGGTTTCTGTGGTTTCTTAGATATACTGCTTTATGCTACATCTCAATTAATTGAGTTTTAATACAAGCCTAGTAAAACTAAAATCGAAAACTCAATGGAAAACAAATATTAAGACCAGTTAGTCTGTTTTCATGTTGCCTTTGTTGTAAAATGTGCTCCATTATCAGAGGTGATGTGTGGTACACCATCACAAGGGAAAAGGCAGTCACTAAATTCATGAACAGTGTTCCTGGAAGAAAAGCTGAAGGTAGGAAAGGACAAATATGTATCCTGAATATGTGTATTACCCTGTGAGGGCCAAAAATTGCCCCTTCCATGCTGGAAGGAGCCAAATGTATCATTTTAATACTCACTACATGGCTGGTCCCCTCAGGAAATGATGCTCAACATTGGGTGCTCAATATTGGCCTTAACTATTGTAATGGTAGACATATGCAATGGGAGCAGCTAGTTCAGTTCTAAAAAAGGGATGCACATGTTATTGTAGCCTAAGATCCCATGGCCATTTTGTAATTGGGCCTATTTGCAAGGAGCAAGGAGGCTGGAGAAAGAAGCTGACTGAAATCCCCAGGATAGGTCATCATGTCTGTCTAGTCACCATTTCTTTTGTAGTGAATGCCCTCTGATAAGAATTTACGTGGGTCACAAATATCTTCACTCTTTGAATACTGTATACTGGTGTATATTGCCACATTCAATCCAGACACTTATTATCTCAGTTGCTAGGGATAGGGGAGAAAAGCATTTTCCAGATTAATAGCTGAGTACCTGATGCCAGGGGCTGTGTTGATTTGCTTCAATAAAAATATCACATCTGAACTTGCACCTATGATTGGCATCACTAAGTAAACAGGTTTGTTATCAACTAGAGTCATTTCCACGTCCCATCTAACTTTTCATACTCCAAACAAGTGTGTTAAATGAGGTTGTGACAAGGATCATCACCTCTGTATCTTCCCTGTCTTTGACGGAAGCACGAATATCTGAAAACTCCCCAGAGTTATGGCAGTGCTTGTGATGTATTATCTTGATGGATGGTGAGGAGCAGGCAACTCCAGTGGCCTCCACATGGCCTTTCGTGACCATCTCTAGCTTAAGTAATTGGAAGGACTCACAGGACTCCACAGAGATTACTCATATAACGAATTGAATACAAGAAAATTAGAGCTCGTAGGGTTATAGTAGGAGAAAGAGAGTAGAGTGCTCCTAGTCCTTTTACCAAGCCAGCCTGACTCATGGGTTGCATCAGTTGCTGTAAGCCATCAATAAACAAAATGGCCTCAGGGGCTAATGGGAAAAAGAAGAGAAGACTTTCAAACTTAAACACCAAATCATAAATCATTAGTTAGTCATTCATCCTTATCTTGGCCCAAAGTTATTACTAGACTCTAGACCTCCATGAAGATAACCAGGGGACTGTCACCATCCAGGTGAGGTGACTCAAATGAAGAATCTGTCAGGTACCAAGTGTATCTACATTCTGAGATCAGAGAAATAACATAAGATGATTCCATGATACTACTGAATCCATTGTAAAAAGAAGTGCAGGCAAATCTTTACTTATCACTTGAACTTGATGAACTCTCAGTCTTCCTTTTTTACCATCGTGGTGTTTTGGGTCTCCAGAGATTACTGTCAATTCAAAGTGATTATCGAAAAACCTCTATGATCTAGATATTTCTCTTTCTCCAGAATGTAAGCACAATTGTAAATAGACTCTGTGCATTTTAATCTACTAAAGACATCTTATCTGGGATTATAATTGGAATCAACTTCTGATCTATGTTGAGATAAATTCTGCACCACAAAGCAGCTAAGCAATTAGAAGAAAGATGTCATGAAAAATGTTCAGAGGAATATCTTGGACATGTGGGTCATATTGCATTATATTTTCCAGTAAGAAGAAAAAAAATGAGTAATACCTCATAGCAATCTATTATGGACCCAAGAATGAGGGACAGGTCCATGATCAAGTCCACATTCACAATATTTCTGAGATGGGCATGATTGGGTAGTGGGACCATTGATCTGCAACAAACTGTAGCAGATAATGTACTCAACTTATGTCTTTGAGGCCTAAGAGTAGCAATTACTTGGGGACCAGCATCCTCATCATCTGTTCTTGTAAACATATAAAAGTAGTGGATGAATTCACATTTAAAATTTTAAGATTCTCCAGATGTTTGGCTGGGTTTTATGAACATCCAGAATGGAAATTCATGACTAACTGCAAAGGGATGGTGCAGGAGTAATACCAACAGAGGGGTTTCTTCTACTTCTCACACAAGTAATATGACACCATCATGACACCTGGAAAATGAATCCTTTGGTTCCTACTAGTTATTGATGAAATAGCCATTTTATATCAAGAAAGAAAGAAAGATCTAGTTTATTCCAAACTCTCTAGGAGTTTTAGGACCACCCACCCACTCCATCATTACGTGTGTGATGAGATCTTATGTCCATGTGTTCTGGGAAAAGAGGAACACAATGAGGCATGTTAATTAGCACAAAGGATCTATAGAACAGTGGCGTAGCTTTGCTTCATGGAATGATCGTGATTTTATAATCTGACAGTCACTTTAAGGGTGAAAGGTGCCTGCATTTCATGGTGTCATGTGGATTACTGATATCACATATGAGGGGATTTCATCTGAATGGATGAAAGGACCATCTCTGTGGGAAATTATTGGCAGGAACTGATAGTGAAAGATTAGGATCTCAGCCTCTTTGTTTAGGTTTGGATCCAAAATCCAGATCAATGGCAGAACTAAAGGGGGATTTAGAAGCCAAGAACCCAGGGAGAAAATGAAAGTGAGAAGTAGAAGGTAGGCAGTGATTTCCCTCATCACAAAAGGCAATGAAGTTCAAAAATCAAAACGTACAACATTATGAATCACTTTTTATTCATAACTTGTATAACATGACTTTTTGTTCACATGTATATGCACGTGAACGTGTACAAAATATTTGCATCTACCTATTAGATTTTCAATTAAGTTATGATACAGAAGAAACTTGAATAGAGTTTTATAATATAGTCACATATGAATTGTAAATAGTTCAAAAATAAAGTATTTTAAAATGTTATTTTAACTAACTAGGAATGCCAGAAGTCACTAAACGCCTAAAAAAACTGAAAAAAATGGAAAAAAAATATAACGTGCTACAAAGGTTTAGCCTCTGCATACCAAAAATTATTACCAGAATGATAATATATTTAACAAAATTATATAGAGATGATTTAAATAGTTAAATATTTGTTTTTAAGAAAAGCTTTTGTCTCTACAAGATAGAATATATTCATCTAATTGTCAGGGTAGTTCTTTTGAATAAACTCAGAAATTGCTAACAAAGTATCCAAATCTTGAGTTTCTTTTAATTCTTTTATGTTACATCATTTTATAGTAATGAAAATGTGAAGAGACGTCTAGACTTTGACATAGAATGCCTAAAGATTAAACGGTGATTTTAAAGACTAGTATATTAAAGAACATTATCTTATTGCCAGAATTAGTGATTCAGCACCACTGTAAATTATTGCTTTGATTATATTAAGGAGATATTAAACCAAATAACAATAGGGTTTAAACTTTTTAAACTCTATACTTGAAAACTTTATAATTATTTCAAAACCTCATAAAATTGAGAAAATATCTTTTTTCTTCTACATTTCTTTATAGTTAATTTCCCTCCTAAGAATAAATTATCTTTCTCTTATTTGTGTCACTATTTCTATAAAAAACAGATATTCCCCTAATGATTTATATTGTTCTGAGACAGAGCTTTAATTTTATGTCTATTAAGCTTGGGTTATAGATATCAAATCTGTGCTGAATCACTTACTGAACATGCTTCATAGACATTGTTATCACAGTTAGATTGAATGATTCTTTGACCCCAAGGACAAGGAATTGGCAAATATATTTGGAGAGACTTTTTACAAAGGAAAGGAAGAGAAAGCCTTACTTCTGGTAAAATTCAAATTATGTCTCCAACTTGACTTCAGATTTCTGGCTAATGCTAGTTAACAGGAAGCCTAAGTACTTGTGCCTGGTCTACTGGTCACAGTAGAGTTTATGAGAGGTGCAGGAGAAATGATGGGGGAAAGGAAGAGGAATAAATGTGTAAACTCACTGAGTTTCTGATTAGATGGAGAAATTATCGCCACAGCAAATAGCATTTCTGAGGAATGCATTTTACTCCCAAAGTTTCTGCAATGTAGCTAGGTAGTTTTGCCTTTTCTTCCAAAATATGATAAGTAAAATCAATGTAGGAAAGAATTTTTTTTAATTTTAAGTTACTCAAAAGGGTAGGTTTCGAATTCTAATCATTTATTTTTGCCTCACCATACCATCAATCATGCCATGTCATCAAAATCAACTAGTTCTCTGAAGCCACAAAGTGTTACAATATAAATCAAGTACTATCATTATTAGTTTCCAAATCAAAGGCAACCTTCAAATCAAAGACAAAAAATAGTGTTTTATATTACAAGGAGGACAAAGTCAGATGTGTCAGATGAAAGTAAATTGGTGGTGTAAAACGTGCTTCACAGCACGTAGAAATCCTGACAGTCTCCTGATATGTCTAATTGGAATGGAAGCCCTGGCTATCGCGTGCTCTTTCTTACTTCTTGTCTAGTTGATTTAGAGAATATGCGATAATTATAACATATGGGAAACAAAATGATGTTAAATATTTAGAAAATGTTCAATATGATTGATACTGAATATAAAATTTAACATTATGTTCCTAAGGCCTCAAACAGCATCTCAATTTGTTGAACTGAAACAAACGAATAAAGTAAAGCACTAAGATTTCAATGGTAGCAACTTCCAGGTGTTTACGCATTTATCTTCTCTCTTTAAAGACTAGATTACTTAAAACCTTAATTCTAAATCATGTGGCCAACTCCTTGGAAGAGTCTCTAATCTCTGACTGGATAAGCTGAGGAATGGACAAGAACTGGGAAGAGTAGGAGAGGAATCTGTTCAAACCAGTGTCTGAGTTAATTTGGATGGCCCTATCAAGATTTACAGCCAAACTTAAAGAAAACTACTCTCTCTTTCTCTTCTTTCCTGTCTTACCAAACTTCCAGCAACACAACAGGCAACATTTTGTGACCAGAAACATAATAGCTGCCACACATGCTAGCAGGAACCCAATCACATCCAAAGAATGGTACTGGTACCAGGTGAGATTGTGTGAGGCTGGCCGCAGGTGTTTGGCTCCTTTGTGGCGCATCACAAACTCAATCCAGAAGACTGCTCGGTCCAGGGGAGTCACAGGCTGATCGTGGTGAATTCTTGATAAACTCATAGCACTCTCTTTATAGCTAAAGATTGGATACACAGACAGTAACTTGAAAAGTTCATTAAGAATGTGTTCCTAAAATTATGTTATGTATTATTAAAAGTATATTACATAATTATGTAATAAATATTTCATAGATGATATCACCAAGAGCACAGAACGCCTATGACAGTTTATTTCCTCATAAGATATTTCCAGAGATGGTGGCCTATCAGCTGGAATTTGTTGGATATGTCTTAGTCTAAGTAATAATTGGAGGTGGGGACATATATTTTCTAATCAGAAACAACATTTAAAAAGTTCAGAAATAGAAATATAGATTACGTAGGTTGAGAATACAAATTTTTGATCCCATTTGCTAAGTGTGGTTTTAGGAAGAAGATAGTGACAGCAAGCCGCTTTGAGGAGCATGTCTATGATAAAGAAACCCCTCACTTTCCCCCAGATTTGGTCTGGAGTGTTCGAGTTCATAAGCTAGTCTTCAACAGTAGCAGGTAATGGTTTCTGTCTGTGGTCTTCATGGCTCTGACATTTCAAACCAAAACAAAAAGCTTAATGTGAGCCTAGAGGCAAAAAGTAGGGGCTGAGAAAGAGTAGATACTGGAATATTTGTTTCAAGCTACAGAGGGATGCAAGTGCCAGTGGTGAGAAGGGACAATGACAATAGCAAGATCCCTAACTCTTCTAACTTCATTCAAGGAACAAAAGCCCAGGCAGGGGTTTGGGTTTAAGGTTTTGCATGGCTGACCTAGAAGAAGGATTTCCTTGGATTTGGGAAGGAGGGAATTTTTTTCTTTTACACTAAAGTGCAATCATCACTTGAGGAGAATATAGAACATTAAATTGTAGACAATAGTGGAACAATCTATGGAAAGTTCTG